TAGCAGTTCCACTCACATCTTTATGGTGTTGAATATATTCCACACAAACATTCAACTTGTATGGTTATGCCGTTGACTGCCTTCAGCATAACCATTCAACTTGGATGGTTATGCCGTTGACCCGGTTCGGCATAGCCGCTCAACTCAGATCTTTATGGCGCTGAACATGTTCCGCATAAACATTTGGATAAAGTAAGTAGGAATATACAGTGTACTTTCAACCTGAGGAAATATTTTCGGAGAAAAAAAAAGAATTAGTAATTTCCGAATATTTCATGGTGCAAAAATATAAAAAAATTAGATGTTAGATGTTGATGCCGTTGTATATGGTCGGCATAAACATTCAATTTAGGTGTTTATGCCGTTGTATATGTTCGGCATAAACATTCAACTTAGATGTGTATGCCGTTGTATATGTTCGGCATAAAAATTCAATTTAGATGTTTATGCCGTTGTATATATGTTCGGCATAAATATTCAACTTAGATGTTTATGCCGTTGTATATGTTCGGCATAAACATTCAACTATGTTCCGCATAAACATTTGGATAAAGTAAGTAAGAATATACCGTTTGCTTTCAACTTGAGGAAATATTTTTGGAGAAAAAAAAGAATTAGTAATTTCCGAATATTTCTTGGTGCGAAAATATTAAAAAAATTTCGGCGAGTAATCGATCCATTACGCATTTGACGTCTGTGGTTTCTACCACTGTACCACGTGTTCACGAACATACTGCATTGATCTGAACTAGTGATCTCAATCAATAAATATTCAACTTGGATGTTTATGCTGTTGTATATGTTTGGCATAAACATTCAACTTACATGTTTATGACCTTGTATATATGTTCGGCATAAACATTCAACTTAGATGTTTATGCCGTTGTATATGTTCGGCATAAACATTCAATTAAGATGGTTATGCCGTTGTATATGTTCGGCATAAACATTCAATTTACATGTTTATGCCGTTGTATATGTTCGGCATAAAAATTCATCTTAGATTTTTATGCCGTTGTATATGTTCGGCATAAACATTCAACTTAGATGTTTATGTCGTTGTATGTGTTCGGCATAAACATTCAATTTATAGATGGTTATGCCGTTGTATATGTTCGGCATAACCATTCAATTTGTATGGTTATGCCAATGCCTGTCTTCGGCAGAACCATTCAACTTGGATGGTTATGCCCTTGACTGCCTTCGGTATAACCGTTCAACTTGGATGGTTATGCCGTTGACTGTCTTCGGCATAACCATTCAACTTGGATGGTTATGCCGTTGACTCGGTTCGGCATAGCCGTTCAACTCAGATCTTTATGGCGTTGAATATGTTCTGCATAAACATTTGGCTAAAGTAAGTATAGGGATATACCGTTTGCTTTCAACCTGAGGAAATATTTTTGGAGAAAAGAAAATTAGTAATTTCCGAATATTTCTCTGTGCGAAAATATAAAAAATTGTTCGGCGAGAATCGATCCATTACGCATTTGACGTCTGTGGTTTCTACCAATGTACCACGCGTTCAAGAACGTACTGCATTGATCTGAACTAGTGATCTCAATCAATAAATATTCAACTTGGATCTTTATGCCGTTGTATATGTTTGGCATAAACATTCAATTTAGATGTTTTTCCGTTGTATATGTTCGGCATAAACATTCAATTTAGATGTTTATGCCGTTGTATATGTTCGGCATAAACATTCAACTTAGATGTTTATGCCGTTGTATATGTACCGCATAAACATTCAACTTAGATGTTTATGCTGTTGTATATGTTCGGCATAAACATTCAATTTAGATGTTTATACCGTTGTATATGTTCGGCATAAACATTGAACTTAGATGTTTATGCCGTTGTATATATGTTCGGCATAAACATTCAATTAAGATGGTTATGCCGTTGTATATGTTCGGCATAACCATTCAATTTGGATGGTTATGCCAATGGCTGTCTTCGGCATAACCATTCATCTTGGATGGCTATGCCGTAGACTGTCTTCGGCATAACCATTCAACTTGGATGGTTATGGCATTGCCTGTCTTCGGCATAACCATTCAACTTGGATGGTTATGCCGTTGACTGCCTTCGGCATAACCATTCAACTTGGATGGTTATGCCGTTGATTCGGTCCGGCATAGCCGTTCAACTCAGATGTTTATGGCGTTGAATATGTTCCGCAAAAACATTTGGCTAAAGTAAGTAGGAATATACCGTTTGCTCTCAACCTGAGGAAATATTTTAATAATTTTAATAGAAAAAAAAAGAATTAGTAATTTCTGAATATTTCATGGCGCGAAAATATAAAAAATTGTTCGGCGAAAATCGATCCATTACGCATTTGACGTCTGTGTTTTCTACCACTGTACCACGTGTTCACGAACATACTGCATTGATGTGAACTAGTGATCGCAATCAATAAATATTCAACTTGGATGTTTATGCCGTTGTATATGTTCGGCATAAACATTCAACTTAGATGTTTATGCCGTTGTATATGTTCGGCATAAACATTCAATTTACATGTTTATGCCGTTGTATATATGTTCGGCATAAACATTCAACTTAGATGTTTATGCCGTTGTATATGTTCGGCATAAACATTCAATTTACATGTTTATGCCGTTGTATATGTTCGGCATAAAAATTCATCTTAGATGTTTATGCCGTTGTATATGTTCGGCATAAACATTCAACTTAGATGTTTATGCCGTTGTATGTGTTCGGCACAAACATTCAATTTATAGATGGTTATGCCGTTGTATATGTTCGGCATAACCATTCAATTTGTATGGTTATGCCAATGCCTGTCTTCGGCAGAACCATTCAACTTGGATGGTTACGCCCTTGACTGCCTTCGCTATAACCATTCAACTTGGATGGTTATGCCGTTGACTGTCTTCGGCATAACCATTCAACTTGGATGGTTATGCCGTTGACTCGGTTCGGCATAGCCGTTCAACTTGGATCTTTATGGCGTTGAATATGTTCTGCATAAACATTTGGCTAAAGTAAGTAGGAATATACCGTTTGCTTTCAACCTGACGAAATATTTTTGGAGAAAAAATCAAATTCGTAATTTCCGAATATTTCTCTGTGCGAAAATATAAAAAATTGTTCGGCGAGAATCGATCCATTACGCATTTGACGCGTCTGTGGTTGCTACCACTGTACCACGCGTTCAAGAACATACTGCATTGATCTGAACTAGTGATCTCAATCAATAAATATACAACTTGGATCTTTATGCCGTTGTATATGCTCGGCATAAACATTTAATTTAGATGTTTTTGCCGTTTTATATGTTCGGCATAAACATTCAATTTAGATGTTTATGCCGTTGTATGTGTTCGGCATAAACATTCAACTTAGATGTTTATGCCGTTGTATATATATGTACCGCATAAACATTCAACTTTGATGTTGATGCTGTTGTATATGTTCGGCATAAACATGCATTCAATTTAGATGTTTATACCGTTGTATATGTTCGGCATAACCATTCAATTTGGATGGTTATGCCAATGCCTGTCTTCGGCATAACCATTCATCTTGGATGGTTATGCCGTTGATTGTCTTCGGCATAACCATTCAACTTGGAAGGTTATGGCATTGCTTGTCTTCGGCATAACCATTTAACTTGGATGGTTATGCCGTTGACTGCCTTTGTCATTACCATTCAACTTGGATGGTTATGCCGTTGACTTGGTCCGGCATAGTCGTTCAACTCAGATGTTTATGGCGTTGAATATGTTCCGCAAAAACATTTGGCTAAAGTAAGTAGGAATATACCGTTTGGTTTCAACCTGAGGAAATATTTTTGGAGAAAAAAAAAGAATTAGTAATTTCTGAATATTTCATGGCGCGAAAATATAAAAAATTGTTGGGCGAAAATCGATCCATTACGCATTTGACGTCTGTGGTTTCTACCACTGCACCACGTGTTCACGAACATACTGCATTGATTTGAACTAGTGATCTCAATCAATAAATATTCAACTTGGATGTTTATGCCGTTGTATATGTTCGGCATAAACATTCAACTTAGATGTTTATGCCGTTGTATATGTTCGGCATAAACATTCAATTTACATGTTTATGCACTGTAAAAACTGATAGGTTAAAATAACCAAAAAAAATGGGTTATTTGAGTTGGTCTAGGACAACCGGTTTAAAATAGGTTATTCAAATAGGTAGAAATAACTAAAACTAATTAGGTTAAAACAAACCATTTCTAGTGGGTTATTTTAACCTATAATATAGAGGTTATTTTAACCAATAATTAATTGGTCAATTGAACCGAATATAAATGGTTAATTCTACCTATTTAAAATATGTTATTATAACATTTATTTTTGGGTTAAAACGACCTAAATTTAAACAGTTAAATCGACTCAGAGATATAGGTTGTTTTTGCCAAATAAATATAGGTTGTTTTTACTTATAAATATTAGGTCATTTTAACCAATAATATTTGGTAAATTTAACCTATAAGTTTTGGTTGATACAAATATAACCTATTCTTTATAGTTGAATCAACCCATAAATAATGGTAAAGGCCATGAGTCTAAACCAGCCTTTTAAAATAGGTTACATGCGGTTGGTTCAACCTAAAAAAACTAGGTTAAAATAAAATAGGTTAAAATAAAATAGGTTAAAATAAAATAGGTTAAAATTAAATAAGTTAAAATCAAGACTTGACTCAAAATCAAATTAGTAAATATTAAACAATTTCAGTAATATGGTAAAAATCATGTATTTTTCTTAAGCAATGCTTAATTCTTATGTAAGAAATAAGTAAAATAATCTACGAGATAATGTGCAACATTGCAAAACAGTAAAGTGTAAGTGGAGGAGTTTGATAGCATGCAGTCATGGTATATTATATTGTGAGATAAAAAAGCTCTCCATATATAGAAGAAACAATGGTTATCTCACACAATTAACTAGCTTGTATCCATGACTGTGACGGCCATTACTCTCCTCGTACACTCTAATTATTACTGTCGTTCCAATTGAAGTGTTGCTCAAATATTGATTCAATACATTACCCCGGGCTGACCAATCCATTTGATCAAGTTCCTCGAGATATTCATACACTTCCTAGTATAATTGTAAACTTTCTGTTGAATAGTTTGAATGCACCAATCACCTTTGTTGTTTGTGCAACTAACCAATCATAAATAGAAAGGAAGTGACCAGAAATGATCAAATACTTGGAATTGGCTCTTTCACAGGAAGTGTATGAATATCTCGAGGAACTTGATCAAATGAATTGGTCAGCCCGAAGTAATGTATTGAATCAATATTTGAGCAACACTTCAATTGGAACGACAGTAAATATTAAGACAATATATCCTGCATGCACAATACATGCATTACATTAATAATATCACCATCAAATTGTTCCATAAGTGATTATACAGTAAATTCTATCATTATCATCAACTGTTCTATTTACTATATTTGTTTACATTTGGCTCAAGAAGTTCTCCACGCCAATTGGTAAACTTTGGCTACTATTTTCCAAAAGAACATGTTCTAAAAACATGTAAACGTTTTTACTGTGACCTGTTGGCCCCTTTGGGTACTGCGCGTTAAAAACATAGTACGCTGCAAGTAAACATATGACTGCATTGACTATATTGCATGATCTAAATTTGTTCACAACCATTCCCTCTGTAATCAGTGAAATGGAACTTATCTCTTCCAGAGGACCAGTGGCTAATATACGAGGGGTTGAACATCCTTTTATCTTTGAAGCAACCTCAGAATCATCCTGCAACAAGGAATATAAATTAGTGCATAAACATTTCATGTGTGACATACATTTTTATCTAAATATTGTACTTCTTCTACAGTACAAAACAAAAATATACATCACACCATAATTTCTACCTATAGATGCTATAAATATACACAATTCACTTACAAGAACAACTTCAAAGAAATGTTCTCCTGATGTATGTTTGTGTGTACTCTTCTCCCCAAGGGCATATGGCAAAGCTGCCATTATACAACGGTTTTCTAACTCTACAAAAAAATTAAACATAGAATAAATTTCTGTACAGTATGTATACACATATAGATTAACTTCTATATATTTGAATGCTGTTTTTAGGGTTTGTAATCCAAGTGAGTATATATACACTTTAAGATCTGACCAGGAACGACTGGAAAAAATGCAGCACAAGATCCTCTCACTTTTCTGGTAGGAATTGAACCTACGTCCATCCTACCACACCTTTCTCACATGAGTTGCGGTGAAATTTTACCTTTTGCGGAATTTATGGTCAGCACCATATTAAATTATCACTATCAGGGAGCAATATAGCATGCGAACGAACAGGCGTTTATATAATTCAGGAAGAAACGCCTGTTCGCAGGCAAGGAGCAATAATGCCACAATTGTCCTCGTGGTGAAATCAGGCGCCCAGCGCTGAAATCTTATCTGGAGGGGCTATTATATACAATATATAAGTCTATAAATATACGATAGATTTCTCATTAAAAACGTAAAATACACCGTTCTAATGTTTAATGAGAGAATAGTTATAAGAACGAAGACATTACACAGTACAAAGTCGCACATCGGCACATGCATGTGGCAATCTTGCCAATCTGTCATGCCTCAAGGGCAATTAAATGTTTGGCAAAAACGAATCCGCTCTGTGGAACAGAATATTGTGTAAATCGAATCTTTACATTATATCTGCATAGGTTTTATGGTTTGTGGTTGTGACCTAAGATAGAACCGCTGTGTCTGTGAGTTGCGAAATCAATTGAACTCAAGAAAAAGCTATTTTGCCGCAAGTGCCAAACGACAAATACCGCGCGTTATGCGAATAATGAAATCCATATCTTACCTTGAAATTCCGTCACTGCATCGTCTAATCCTCTTTCTTTCAGCCAGGTCACAACGTCGGATGGTTCAGATTCTCTTGTGATGATTATATTGATCTGAAATTCTAACTATATAGCCGAGATTTTCAAGTTTTTTTTAGCAATTAAAGTCGACCAAGTGTCTCGAGTGCATACGAAGGTGAAATTAGATAGCGGACTTGCGAAATTTGGTTACAAGGGATTAACCGCTTGATCGAATTGACCAATGAGAAGCGATCAGTTGCCTGATTAACTATTCACGAGGGAACTAGACGTCAATCAAACATAGCTCATTTTAATACTGACAGAACGCCTATTCGTAGCCTTGAGCGAGTCGTTCCTGTTGTTAATATTTTTATGGTGTTCAAAAAATAAAATATGTCATGGCGAACTATTGCTGTCAAGTGTGTTGGACGTTTTTCACGTCCACCATTATTTTAATGATAAAACATCTCATTCTCGCACACAAAAATGATCCTAATCTACACATGGTATGTGGAGTATCTGGTTGCCAACGAACATTCAAGAACGTAAGGATAAGTAACAGTTTAAATTTTTGCGTGGCGGCAAGCGCTCTAGTCTCTAGAGTATAAACGCGGCCGTTTTTAAACCTTTCAAGAATTTTATTGTTAGCCTTTATAAATTGTTCCGAAGTAAAATAGATCGGCAAATCGTATCTAATTTTCTTTTCTCTACAGGTTTACACTTACAAAAATCATTTTTATCGACAACACAAGGGTGAGGATATCGCCCATGAGGGTGATATTGCAGATCATCCGTCAGAAAACGATGTCACTCCGATGGAAACCGATCATCCATCGAACGAAATCGAGGAAGGCAACAGGACTGAGTTGAAACTTAAAAGAGCCAATGCATTCTATATTTTGCGAACTAAAGAGGTCAATCTGCTTACGCAGAAATGTGTAGATGATATTGTTTTGGGTACAGGTGAACTGATCAGATCTACTGTGGAAACAGTTGGGAACGGCGTACGGGAATGTTTGAACAGCGCAGGAATACCATACGAAACAGTTCCTGGCCTTCAAGAATTGTTTGCAGCAAATAATCCAGTGTCTAACCCCTTTGAACACGTTTCGACAAAATACAAGCAAATGTCCTTCTTCAAACAGGAATTTGGATTAATTGTAAGTATATATTTTAACAGTGTACTATTTCAGTCTGCTCTATTTCATGCAATATATTCAATATTCATACTTACTATAATTTATTAATAGTGATTGGCCTTAATAAGGGTACCATGCCTGAGAGTTAGAGATATTTTATTAACCAAATCTGTAAAAAATCAAAGGTGTTTACAGTCTTGCGACAGTCGAGAAGTATTGAAAACTTGCTATACCGGTACCTATAAACAATTACAGGAATTGGATGAGGCTGAGTAGGATATAAATAATTAGTATTTTTGCAAAAGTGCATATGATTGGTCAACTCAAATTTGATGTATCAACCTGCAGGTGAATATTACAAAACAGAATTTTTTAAAATGGCAGCTAACCATTATTATGGAAGTTACTGATAAAGAAATAAGCAAAAATTATTAGAATAAATTTAGTCCTAAAAACACAAAAGACTTGTGTAAAAATAGAAAAAAATTATTCGCCCTAATAGGTTTGGTGATTATTAGGGAATATTCACCTTGAATATTTGTCTTGGTGAACATTCCCCCCAAACCATCGAGAGCCTTCAGTAAATAATTGTTAATGAATTACTTAAACTGAGGTCAGTGAACATTGTGATGCTATATGTGAAAAAAAGTTTATTACACTTGTGACTTGGTAATGTCAGTTTATCCTTCTGAGTATGATATCATAATTGTCTCTCATTCATTGCATGCACTTGTAACAATAATAATATTGTCCTCCAGTGAGAAAACTGATATCACCTCATATAATGATGTATACATTTCCTGCATAAGACGAATCTAATAATTCTTTTCTTATTTGTTATATTTTATTATTTACAATATTGTTCTTTAAGGGACCGTTCATTAATTATACGTCAGGGTGGGCTGGAGGAAAAAGAGCAGAAACAGTGCAAGTTTTCCATGACCCCCCTTCTAACCGAAAATTTTTTTCACAACCCCCCCCCCTATTTCCCCCTATTTATGGGGGGGAGGTAAAAAAATTTTCCTAACGAACATAAGCATAGTCTAAAAATTTTTGGTCAGGAATATTTCGGGCTTTGTGCAAATACCTAGCCTGATAAATAATAGACTGCTGTTTTTCAGGTTAGTAAATACCTTAGAGCACCTACAGATATCGATAATAATTTGTATGCTCTTAGCCAACGAGAAAACAAGAACAGAGTAGAGTGAATAATAATGTACACATGTAATTCACTACTCTATGTGTAAACATTTCGATAATCTGTGCACATGGCTTTAATATGGGATGTGTTATATTTTAGGAGCCTCGACGCATCACTGTTGGGCACAAGTCAGTAAGAAAAAGATCTGGAACAATGTACAAACAAGTTTTGAAAGATGAGGAGATGATGTATATTCCATTGCTTGAGATATTGGAACAGCTGTTGAATATGGATTTTGTATTATCTGAGGTTAGTGTTGATGCAATTTAAATGCAATGATTTTCTTGTGGGAAAAAATTACTTGTATAATTAAATATAATTTTGTTAATCAATACACCCATTTTATTATTACAGTATTTTTCTCATGCTGGGTTGCCATGTAACATGTTTTTTGCTTTAGCCAAACAGAAATTTATATTTGTCCATGTACACATATATATACTGCATGATGCTTATTGAGCACTCTGTGTGTCAACTTCATACCCGGGGATCTGTCTATATGGGACAGACCCTGGGTACGAGGTTGTCTTTGTGTTTCCAGACCAAAGTCCAAAATGTACACATACACTGGTATATTAAATATGATTATCAATTTATAGATACAGGTTGGTCATCAAAGCACCAATGGTCTTATTCAAGATTTCTGCGATGGCCAGTTGTTTAAAGCTCATCCACTGTTTTCCAGTAATCCACCTGCGTTACAACTGATGCTATATTACGATGAGCTAGAAATTACCAATCCTCTGGGTAGCAAAACTGGAACACACAAGCTAGGTAAGGTAGTTGTTTCACTATGTATACCAGTATGAGTTACTAGATACAGTATGTGTGGATGTCAAAGAATTACTAACGGTAAATGTGGAACTTAATTAATGAGTGAATAACAGAGTGGATTTTTCTTTATTTTTTAGGTGTAATATACCTGACCCTTGGTAATATCCCACCACTGTTCAGATCTACACTGGATGCTATTCAACTGCTTGCAGTTGCAACATATCCTGTAATTAAGGAATATGGCATTGGTACCTTGATGGAACCAATTATGAATGATCTAGCATTGATTGAGCAGGTAAATGTTTTCCTTATTTATGTAACCATAACCATGATTAGGCAGGGTGTATTTTCTTCTGTATTGCAAAAAGTACTGCTAGCTATTTACTACCTTAAAAAATAAACAGAAACTCGACGTTTCGAGCGAAGGCCCTTCGCTCGAAACGTTGAGTTTCTGCTTATTTTTAAGGTAGTAATATAACCACTCAGCACAGCATTTTCACATTGGTACTACCAACACTGGTACGGACAGTTTAAGCCTGTTCTATGCATTAGTTCTGTGCATAACGTTGTGGGGGACATTTGATGTGAACAGGGCCATAGCTAGACATGTTCACATACTATAAAAACAATCGCTTTTTAAAGAAATCCATCTGGCAGAACACAGATATATGAATATGCACCCATCCACTCCCATTATTGGTCTAACTACGGCCCTGGATTTAAAGGATACCAAAATTTTGTGTTATTTTGACATCTACTAAGTTGAAATTCTAATCTTTATCCATTTAAATGCATAGCAAACAACAGCGATGTTACTCACAAAGTAGAACACATTTCAGTTCACAAATATACAGCAGCTGTTTAAATTATGTAAACAAGTGGACTCGATTTCCCCTTACATTTTGCATGTTGGTTCATGCCCATTTATAATGCAATGTCACCCATCACTTCGTAACTGATAATTACTATCCCTAGCTTAAATTATCACTGTATATTATAGGATGGTGGCTATCAGTTTATGGTAAAGCATCAACCGCTTTCACTTTCTGGGACAATTGTGTTCGTATCTGGAGACAACTTGGGTGCTCAACTTGTTGGGGGGTTTAAAGAAAGTGCAAGTGCAAATCTAAGATGTAGGCATTGTATGGGAACAGTAGATGAAGTCACTAGCAAAGTACGTTCAATTATTTCTTCATTAAATTTAAATATTTATTTCATAATGTGAAGACACCAGTGTCAATTTTGTATTGCACATCACATCAGTTAACACTGTAGCTGTGTACCGGCTGGTATAGTAGGTTGTCAAACTAACTGGAAGATAAAGAGTTACTGTAAGTCTGTAATCAAATAATTTTGCCCCTTTCAGGTTGTACTTAAATTATACTTAATTCACATCTGATTGCTACCTAAAGTATTTTATCCAGTTTCACCCCAGGATGACTTTAAATTAATTTAACATATATAAATTAGCTTTAACATGATAAATAATCTTTCACTAAACAATCTTTCAATTATTTTTTATTAGTTCCGTGAGAAAGATTTCACTCTGCGAACAAGAGCTGGTCATGATCACCAATGTGAGTGCATAGAACAAGATCCTGATTTAAGTAAAACCTATGGCGTAAAGCGGAGATCTATTCTCTGTAACTCAAGGTACTTCCATGTGGTTGATGGTTTGCCAGCTGATGCCATGCACGATATTCTCGAAGGGGTTCTGCAGTATGAGTGTAAGGAAATGCTGAATATATTTATAAATGAGCAAACGTATTTCACACTGCAGCAATTGAATGAGAAGATGAAGTCTTTTGATTTTGGGTGCTATAATGATAAGAACAAGCCTTCACCCATTACACGACAAGCATTGAAAGGAGATGCAAACAATGTTCGACAAAAAGGTTTGTGATTTCTGTTCTAAATCTTATTCAATTATTTGAATTCGTTGCAGGTCAATGTTTTGTAACTACAGTATAATTAGCCTATATGTCCATCTTGCTTGATAGTATGGGCTTGCTCAAAATGTTTCATTTATCATTTGTACAAAAGTTTGTTATGTACAGTAGTCCACAAACTGTACTGAACTGTAAGAGTCAATGACTCGAGAAAATAATTTAAAAAGCAAAATTGTTCTAAAATAGCCTGGTTTTCAAATGTGCTGGTACAAAAGGCTTTCATTCAAATTGTCGAAGAAAGTATTTTTTATTTACAGGTAGTTGGATAACCTACCTTTCGTGTGTTTGAAAAATCAAGTAGATTTTGGTGCAATTTGGATGAAAACTGAATGAAAAATAAATTCTTTGCAGGATTGCATGGCGATAAAACATATACATGTAATACTTTTTGTTTGTGGTAACTAAATTTATTACTGCAAAACGTTTGATCTGTAAGCCTGAAAAGTTTGTCTTCTCTGCTGGCTGGAGAAAACTGAATGAGTAATTGGGCTAAACTAATAATTTGAGTCTAATTGACTTAATTTGGAAGCAGGGGTATATCCAGTCTATGAATGCCTAGCTCTTGTTTAATAATATATAATTGAGTAGCCATATGATTATTTGTTTTTCTTGTATTTAATAGCTGCACAGATGTGGTGTTTGGGTAAATTCCTTCCGCTGATGATTGGACGCATGGTTGCAATTGATGATGAATATTGGCAATACTTTCTGCTTTTGTTGGAAATTGTTGACATTGTTTTTTCCACGTCAATTACTGTTGACACTCTTGGAGTTTTGGAAGGACTGATTGAAGAATATCTCTGGGGATTTACAAACATCTACCCTGGAAGATCTGTCATCCCTAAAATGCATTACTTGGTGCATTATCCATCCCACATATACAGGTTTAGTATGTTGTGTATTAATTGGCATATTGTTTAAACCTTTAAGTGGCAATGCACCCTACTTTATTATTTTACTAATGCTGGACTATTTTACTCTGTCTAACGTCAGACAATTTTACTCGTCAGGGGGGAGTGTTGCCACTCGATGAGTTAAAGAATGAGTACCATGCCAGTAATCCTTTGCACTGTTGTGACTTTAAATTTTATGTTTACAATTGGCTGTACCTCATTAATATTATTTCATTACAAACAGTTTACATCGAAATAACACAAATTTTTTTAAGGCATGAATAATTACTTACTTTGTTTAGAAATTTTTTCAACAAGATTCCGATAAATATGGACCAATGTCAATTAAATCTTTGAGGCGACTCATGAATATCTTAAGACTAATACATCTTGTGATACTCACTCTTTACGAACGAAAGCCTTGTGTACTGTACTTCGTGTTTAATAATTAACCAATAAATGCTCAATTGCTGTTTTTAGATTTGGACCGATGACCCGTACATGGTGCATGCGTTATGAGGCGAAGCATAGTTACTTTCAACGTCTTGCTGCATACATGGGTAACTTTACAAATGTGGCCTTTACACTGGCAGATCGACACCAAACCCACAACTGTCATGTCACAAATAATTCCAATGGTGAAAGGAAAGAAGGCTTATATAAGGCAAAGGAAACCACTGTTGGTAAGCATGTACAACAATTGTTCATTACATATTGTTTTGTACAGTAAATAATAGTAAATATATTGTCTTATAGAATCAGGAAAGCAGGTGGTCGTTGGCGATTCTGTATATTTCGACGAGCTGAGACACAATGAAAGAGATCTTCAACCTACAGATATGGTTTATGAGTAAGTTTGATATAGGCTACTAAATTATGTTTGTGCACATGGAGATATATCTTATCATTTCAGATTACTTACTGTACCCTTCTGTAATATTATGACTTCCTCTTGCTGGGGGCTTGGAGAGAGAAATAAGGGTGGTGCAGGTTATATGAGCATGTTTTTGTTGTTGCTTACCAAGCTGACAGAAGTGCCATACTCTTGGAACAGACATATTTTTTTATAAATATATGGTTGTGTAACTTGTGTAACTGTTACGTTATTAAGTCAATGTCATTCACAGTAGAACGAACAACATTGTTGCGGATTGTGTTAATTTATATAAATTTTAAGCTTGTGGCGATGCTGCAGCAACTCCCAGCAGTGTGTGACAAGATACCTTTTCTGTTTCCTGTTAGGGCGAAAAAAGTTTCTATTCATGGCACTGTGTACAAGGTTAAATCTATTGTTCATACTGGATGGATGGATGAATTACCCGAGTTCGCTTCAATCTCTAAAATTGTTGTGGTTGGGCCAAGCAGTCGAGTATATTTTGTTTTAACAAAATATGTAACCAAGCAGTTTGCTACTCATTATCATGCATTTGAAGCTTGTAAACCTCGAAATGAGAGTATCATATTGTTGCAACAATGTCAATTTAAACATTACTTGCCATTGCATGCAATAAGTATATCAAGTGTAGCTGATGGATTGATCTACATAGCTCCTAGATGCAATGTTCCTAAATGTTAGAGATGTGTATATATACTGTATGTAGAAATGGCTGTGATAAACAACTTAATGTTGAGATCTGCACAGTGTTATATCATACCAGTGGTGGATTTATAGGGGGGTGGGGTGCGCACCCCTGCTGGCCTTGGTCGACAGGGGTGCAAGGGGGTGCAAAAAAAATCAAATTTAGAACTGAAGCTCATAATTCAATGCCCATATCGCAGGAAATGGCATTTCTAGGGTTCTGATTTTCAAAATGTTCCGGGAGCATACCCCTGGACCCCTAGGGGCTCGCGCCTTTGGTGCTAGAGCCGTTAGGAAGCCAATTCATTTAAATACTCTCCCACCACCACCTAAAGAATTATAAAGAAACACTCGGCGGCTCACTCAGCACCCCCCCCCAGAAAAACTTTGCTGGATCCACCCCTGTATCATGCAGTACGATGGTAATATAAATATGTAAAAAATGAGATGCACTTTCCTTAATAAAGATTATGACTGAACTATTATTGTCTATATATAACTGTTTTGATAATTAGTTAACCAATAACAATAGGTTGTTTTAAATATTCTTATAATACTCATTAATAATTCAGAACGTTTGTGGCAAATCATGTCATAAACCATTAACAAGTTAAATTGTAAACCAGTATTAATTATATTGGTTACACTTTAACTCATTAATGGTTTATGACATGTTTGCCACAAACTTTATGAATTATTAATGATATTTTAAGAATATTTAAAACAACCTATTGTTATTGGTTAACTAATTATCCGACTTAATAATAATAGGTTATAACAACCTATTAAACTACAATAACCTGTTAGTTAATTCGCATGACCAAAGGAATTGGTTAAAATAACCTATTTATATTAGTTGTACCCAAATGTTCGCAACTAACCAAAAAACAATTAGTTATTTTAACCTATTTATTTTGGTTATAACCTATTCAATTGGTTAAAACAACCTATTTATATTAGTTGTACCCAAATGTTCGCAACTAACCAAAAAATAATTACTTATTTTAACCTATTTATTTTGGTTATAACCTATTCAATTGGTTAAAACAACCTATTTATATAAGTGATAACCTTTAGAAATAGGTTATTTTAACGTACCTATCAGCTTTTACAGTGTGCCGTTGTATATGTTCGGCATAAAAATTCATCTTAGATGTTTATGCCGTTGTATATGTTCGGCATAAACATTCAACTTAGATGTTTATGCCGTTGTATATGTTCGGCATAAACATTCAATTTATAGGATGGTTATGCCGTTGACTGCCGTCGGCATAACCATTCAACTTGGATGGTTATGCCGTTGATTGTCTTCGGCATAATCATTCAACTTGGATGGTTATGCCGTTGACTGCCTTCGGCATAACCATTCAACTTGGATGGTTATGCCGTTGACTCGGTCCGCATAAACATTTGGCTAAAGTAAGTAGGAATATACCGTTTGCTTTCAACCTCAGGAAATATTTTTGGAGAAAAAAAAAATTAGTAATTTCCGAATATTTCTTGGTGCGAAAATATAAAAAATCGTTCGGCGAGAATCGATCCATTACGCATTTGACGTCTGTGGTTTCTACCACTGTACCACGTGTTCACGAACATACTGCATTGATCTGAACTAGTGATCTCAATCAATAAATATTCAACTTGGATGTTTATGCCGTTCTATATGTTCGGCATAAACATTCAATTTAGATGTTTATGCCGTCGTATATGTTCGGCATAAACATTCAACTTAGATGTTTATGCCGTTGTATATGTTCGGCATAAACATTCAATTTAGATGTTTATGCCGTTGTATATTTTCGGCATACTGAACATTCAACTTAGATGTTTATGCCGTTGTATATGTTCGGCATAAACATTCAATTTAGATGTTTATGCCGTTGTGATATGTTCGGCATACTAAACATTCAACTTACATGTTTATGCCGTTGTATATGTTCGCCATAAACATTCAATTTAGATGGTTATGCCGTTGTATATGTTCGGGATAACCATTCAAATTGGATGGTTATGCCGTTGACTGTCTTCGGCATAACCATTCAACTTGGATGGTTATGGCATTGCCTCTCCTCGGCATAACCGTTCAACTTGGATGGTTATGCCGTTGACTGTCTTTGGCATAACCATTCAACTTGGATGGTTATGCCGTTGACTCGGGTCGGCATAGCCGTTCCACTCACATCTTTATGGCGTTGAATATATTCCGGATAAACATTTGGCTAAAGTAAGTAGGAATATACCGTTTAATAAGTTCTTTGTATGTTTGCATGGTGATAAAATATAATAGGTTTTGTTTGTGGAAACACCACGTAAATTTATTGCTGCAAAGCTTTCGATCCGTAAGCCCGGATCTTCATCAGTGCCAATAATATGTGACTTGTTTAATTCACACGCTCTTTTTATATACAAAAGTGTCGTGATCTGTTGGCTCGCATCATTTGAAATTTAATTAAACGGCACATCAACCACGTCATTCCAAACGTAGTGAAGTGATTCCAATTAACGCGCGCGCATCCAAGACAAGAGAAATTAATTTTGCACATTAAAGAGAGCACGCCACGTACTATCTAGTGGCTTTCCCTCCTGATCTATAGTATTGTGCTTCTCGATTTCAATTGACTCTCTCATTTTGCGAGAGAACTTATGACTATCAATTGCCAAAATGGTTGCTTCGTCCCATTTTATACGATGGTCGTAAGTCCAAGTATGTTTAGCCACAGCAGATTTATCTTGCTCGGCTTTCTCGCAATTCGTTTTGTGTTCCTTAAGACGTACTGAGAGATTTCGACCAGTTTCGCCAATGTAAACCAGACCACATTCACAAGGAATGCGGTACACACCAGGTTTCTGAGATTCATGTACATTGTCCTTATGTGTGCAAAGAGCTCGAAACAATTTGTTTTCGCTGGAATGGTATACCTTTATACCTGCTTCATTCCTCAAAATTCTTTCGATTTTGTGTGAAGCCGGGCCAATGTATGGTAGACAAACAGACGACTGGTTCTCAATCTCCTCCTGTATACTATATTACCTCACAAATTGTTTTCGCTCGGTTGACGAGGGTCTTACACACAGAGTTTTTGATACTAGGATGATGAAATTAATTATAATGCAGATACTTGTCTGTATGTGTTGGTTTCCTATAAACCTTATGTCCTAGCGACCCATCATCATGTATAGTGAAAAGAACATCTAAGAAAGGTATAGTTTTATCATCCTTCTGTACTTCAAAAGTAAACTTGATCGATGGATGCAAACTATTAATGTGGTCTAGAAACTTTTATAGATTATCTAGTCCATGAGACCAGCTACTCAATGTATCATCCACGTATCCGAACCAGAAACCAGGTTTCAACTTTGCAGTAGCTAAGGCCTTCTTTTCAAATTCCTCCATGAACAAATTAGCCATAACAGGCGACAATGGACTTCCCATTGGAGCGCCGTTTGTTTGTTCATAGAATTTCTCCCGCCATTGAAAACATGTCGTGGTCAAACATAGTTTCAACAAATCATGAACATTCTCAGGAGAAAGATTAGTTCTTTGAGATAAAGTAATATCTGAAAGAAGTCTTTCTTTCGCGACATTACAAGCCTCTTCAACTGGAACATTAGTGAACAAGCTAACTACGTCAAAACTTACCAGAATGTCATTCTTACCCAATCTAATTTGTTCCATTTTTGTTACAAATTCTTTAGAATTTACTACATGATGTTCTGTTTTTCCAACAACTGGTTTCAATATCTCAGCGAGATATTTAGCCAGAGCATACGTTGGCGAACCTATGGACGCTACAATAGGTCTTAGTGGGACATTAGGTTTATGTATCTTAGGCAAACCATAAAATTTTGGACAAACAGTAGCTGAAGGTCTCAAACAATTATGAAGTGTTTGAGACAAAATACCTGCCTTTTTAAAACCAGATAGTTTGGAACATATTTTACGTTCAATGTTAGCTGTAGGGTCTCTTTTAAGCTCTTTATAAGTTGAAGTGTTTAAAAGAGCCAGGATTATATTATCATATTCTAGACGATCTAAAATAACCGTAGCGATACCCTTATCAGCCTTTAAAATATGTATTGAC